TAACGAGACGGATCGTATGGCGTTGCTGGAGTTCAAGTCCATGATTTCTAGCGACCCATTGGGAGCACTGAGCTCGTGGAACGATTCCACCCACTTCTGCGAATGGCATGGCGTGTCCTGTTCGAGAAGACAAGTTGGCGGCAGAGTTGCTGCCCTGAGACTGTCTTCTCAAATGCTCTATGGCTCCATTTCGCCACACATCGGCAACCTCAGCTTCCTGAAGGAGCTGGACCTCACCAACAACAGCTTCATTGAAGGGATCCCTCTGGAGATCGGCCACCTCCACAGGCTGCAGTACCTGCAGCTCACGAACAACTCGCTGCGCGGGGAGATCCCGTCCAACATCTCAGGATGCTCTGCTCTCGCCGAATTCAGTGCTGCAAATAACAAGCTGGTGGGGCAGCTGCCATGGCAGATTGGAGGTCTGAACAAGCTTCGAGTACTTTTCGTCACGAAAAACGATCTAACGGGAAGCATCCCTCCTTCTTTCGGCAACTTGTCATCCCTCCAGATCCTCCGAGCAGGGGAGAACCATTTCAGCGGGAGTACTGTTCTTGACCCTCTCAGCCGATTGAAGAGGCTTCAGTTTCTAGATTTGGTGTTAAACAACTTGACCGGTGAAATCCCTGCTTCCTTTTTCAATCTATCTTCTCTCACGGATGTGTACTTTTCATACAACCAACTCCATGGCAATCTTCCGAGGAACTTGGGGATATCACTTCCGAATCTTCGAACCTTAGACGTGGCATATAACCGGTTCACCGGTACTGTTCCACCTTCCTTGTCCAATGCTTCAAGCTTGGTGGTACTTCAACTGCCGAGTAACAATTTTACAGGAACCATGCCTAGTATGGAAAGCTCTCGCAACCTGATGTGGCTTTCGATCTTCAACAACTCTCTTGGAAGCGGGCAGGCGAATGACCTGAGCTTCCTGTGTTCCTTGACCAATGCCAGTAGCTTGCAGTGGCTGCTCATTCATTACAACAACTTTGGAGGCAGCTTGCCGAAGCAAGTTGCCAACTTGTCGACTGGCCTGGAGGTTCTGAGTCTCAAAGGGAATCGATTATCAGGAGGCATTCCAGGTGAGATACAAAACCTTGTTAGCCTGCAATGGCTAGATGCAACATACAACAACTTCTCAGGTACAATCCCACCTGCCATTGGGAAATTGCAAGCTCTGCAACAGTTACAGTTGAGTTACAATAGCATTTCAGGATCCATTCCATCGTCCATTGGGAACTTGACCAAACTGTTGGGATTGTATCTTAGTAACAATCATCTGCAGGGAGGAATTCCTGCCGGAATCGAGAATTGTCGAAATCTGATGACTCTGGACATATCTTACAACAATCTCAGTGGCGTCATTCCCTCACAGATCATGAGTATATCTTCCTTGTCTCGTCTCCTCAACTTGTCTTACAACCATTTCGCCGGTGCCATCCCGGTCGAAGTGGGGAGTCTAACGAACTTGGAGGATTTGGATCTCTCTCATAATGCGTTATCAGAAGAGATTCCGGACAGTCTGGGTAGTTGTGTGGCAATGGAGGAACTGCACTTGCAAGGAAATCTCCTGCAAGGAACAATTCCTTCTTCTATTCAATCATTAAAAGGTATTCGGATATTGGATGTATCAAGCAATAACCTGTCAGGTCAAATTCCAAAGTTTCTTGAAGATATTAAGGAACTGCAGCTTTTGAATATGTCTTACAACGATTTCGAGGACGAAGTGCCACTAGGTGGAGTCTTCAAGAATGCCAGCATCATTTTACTCGATGGAAATAGAAAACTTTGCGGCGGCCTGGCTGAACTTCAACTTCCTTCTTGCAGTTTCAGACAACATAAGAAGGTATTGAGTCACAAGTTGAAGATTGTCATATCTACAATCTCCAGCCTGGGGTTTCTGACTTGCATTGCTTCCTGCTTGCTGATCTTCTGGATAAAAAAGAAAGGGAAACCAGATACAATTCCAGCAGATGATTTCCAACTACAAGTGTCTTACCATAGCCTGCATAAAGCTACAGATGGTTTCGCCACAACGAATCTGATTGGTGTGGGTAGTTTTGGTTCTGTATATAAGGGTGTCCTTGACATGAATGAACATAGCACAACCATTGCAGTGAAAGTGTTCAACCTTCAGCGTCGTGGAGCATCCAAGAGTTTCATGGCAGAATGTGCAGCCTTAAAGAATATCAGGCACAGAAATCTCGTGAAAGTACTAACAGCGTGTTCAGGTGTTGATCATCAAGGAAATGACTTCAAGGCTCTCGTTTATGAGTTCTTGGTTAATGGCAGCCTGGAAGATTGGCTGCATCCAGTGCAAAGTGGAGATGAACCTCCAAGGAGCCTAAACTTCATCCAGAGGCTAAACATCTCCATAGATGTAGCTTATGCGATGAATTATCTTCATCATCAGTGTGGCACACCGATTGTTCACTGTGATCTCAAGCCCAGTAATGTGCTTCTTGACGAGGACTTGGTAGGCCATGTTGGTGACTTTGGATTGGCGCGATTCCTTCCATCAGTTGCTGATTCCTCTTCGACTTGCGAGGCTTCAAGCTCCATCGGTATAAAGGGAACTGTTGGCTACGCTCCTCCAGGTAAAGTGACGAATGGTCATCCCTACCCTCTCCTCATCCTAAAAATGATGAAATACAAAGCTTTCCATTAATTTTCCCCCCTAACCTTCTACTCAATATACATGGCAGAATATGGTATGGGACATGAAGTCTCTGTACAAGGAGATGTATATAGCTATGGAGTTCATTTGCTTGAGATGTTTACTGGACGGAAACCAACTGACGAGGCTTTTCAAGAAGGATTCACCATTCATAGATTCGTCAGAACTGCTATTTCCGAGAAGCTGGTAACAGAACTTTTGGATCCAGTTCTATTGAATGAACTACATATCGGTGGGACGACCCACAACAATACCATCCGTAGCAACAGTAGTACTAGTTCAAAGGTCGCCACCAAAACCAGTAGCCCAAAAGCAGAGGAAATTTTGATTTCCATTTTGGAAATCGGTGTTGCTTGCTCTTCAGACATCCCACAAGAGAGAATTAGTATGAATGAAGTAGTCACAAGGCTCGTCTCTTCAAGAAAATCATTTCTTGATCAGTCCACACGAAGACGAAGGGAGGTGAGATGATTGATTTTTTTTAGTAGATTTGAAAGTGTTTTTAACTAGCATATGTTTGGAAGATATTTACTCGAAAAATGTGGAATGTAAAATATATAAGTTAAAGAAAATATTGACATACCAGGCAAAGTTTCAGAAGTTTCTTTGAGATGTTCCCCAGTGTTCAAGTTCCCAAACTTCTCTACATACTCAGCAATACTCAGGGTAACAGAGACCTTTTGAGGATTAAGGATTTTTTTCCCCTCAGCCTTTTGTCCATCGAGATATTTCATCCTATTCTGCAAATACTGCTGCAAGAGAAAAATAACTCACGCTGAGAAGGGAGATGATTAATCGAATCCCCTATGGAAACAATTTACAGTAAGCAAAACAATGCTTCATATGAGAAGGGAGATGATTGAAACTGAGTTGGAGTGATGACATTGTAGGATCTTTGTCTTTAGTGATACTTGAAAGTTGAAAGGCTCTTGGATAGAAATGACGGCAACTCGGTTTTTGGATCTTTTGAACCTGATAACATAGTAGCCATGGTGCTCACAGCAAGAGGAACTCCATTACATTTCCTCAATATCTGCTTGCCAACTTCATACACTTGTGGGTCTTCTGGAACTTCTCCTGGAAGGGCCTTTTTCACCAATAAACTCCATGATTACAAGTCTTTCAAGCAATAAGGTTCAATTATTATTGAACTTGTTCCTGACTTCAATGTGCTGCCTCCTACCTCTGCCACTTTAGTGGAGTCAAATATTTTCCACGGGAGTTTCTTGAGCTCACGTCTAAAATTCCACAGGAGACCAATCTGCTCCAAGGCCAAGTCAGCAGCCTTGCCAAGGATTTGTTTTGCAACTGGGATCCGAATGATTTCAGCCATTATTAGGAAAAAAAACAAGGAAGCAAGGAAAAATAGGCGAGCTTGAACAAGAGAGCAAGGGGTAAACCAGGCAAGCTAAGAGAAAGAGCTAGAGTGATATAGTGAGGCCAATGATCCATCTATGGCGAACTTACCCGGTGCTGAGTTTCGCCCCCCGAGGTGTTCGACCGGTTCGACGCATGGCACGAAAAAGTTCGCCGGATTCGCCGCCGCCTCAGCCCGGAGGATTTCTCTGTACTACGAGAACTGCAAGGCGCCGTTGGATTCGGTCAGGTTCTCGCTGCTAGTTCTCCGACCCGCTGACTCCAGATCGCGATGGAAGACTTCGGCGATGTTGCTAACGTTGGCGCTGGGCGGCGGCACCACCGATTACGGATCGCCGCTCGAGGTCGCGGTCGATTTCGGAGGTACTACCGTCAGCAGTCTCCCGGCGAGATCATTCTCCACGCGCTTGGCATTCGAGTGGTTTCTTCGCTTGAGGCAGTCTCTCTCAACATTGAGTCCTTTCCACTTTGTATTCCGATGGAATTCACCAGAGAAAGTGTGGCGGTCGGAGGAGGTTTGTCTCAAGAACCAGTTGATCCCAATAACTCGAGTTGTTCGGAGAAGGTTCTGCTGGATCTTATACCACACTCTAACACGCCCCCTCAAACGAAAGCCAACCCATGGGGTTGAAGTTTGTACAGGCCCACCATATCATGTGCTTGAAAGACAACGGTTAATATTGATATTGGGGGTCGTGGAGATTCGAATACATGACCTTTTGGTTCGAAGCTTGCTCCCAATAACTCGAGTTGTTGGGAGAAGGTTCTGCTGGATCTTATACCACACTCTAACAATTTGGTGGCCGGGGGCAAAGAAACCGGTGGAAAGTGGAAACGATGAGTAATGTAATTAATGTATGATTTAATTTTTTTTCTAGTGACAAATATGAAATAACTTATAATTACAATGACCAGCATTGTAATTTATCCAAACCCTCCGCAAAACCCTAAAATAAAATAAAAAATCTCCAATTTCCCCCAATTAACCCACCCCCGACCTTTCTCTCTTATCGGTAGCCCGAAGATTCACTCGAGAAAGCCATCTGCTCAGTCAGAAGAACAACCAACCATGGATTTCGACGAGATCGAGTATCTGGAGAAGACCGTCGAAGAAGCGGAGGATCGAGACGGGAGCGCCAAGAAGAGCAAGCGCGAAGGCGTCGAGAAGAGCGAGCGGAGTTACAGGAAGCGGGATGCCGCCGACGAGGATGCGACGGCGAGCCGGAAGAGATCGAGAGGGGGCAAGGATGAAGAGAACGGGAGGGAGAAGGATCGCCACCGCCGCGACAGGGACAGAGATAGAGAGAAGGACAGAGATAAGGAGAAGGATAGGAGAGACAGGGATAAGGAGCGAGAGGAAGGAAGAGAGAAGAGGGAGAGGAGCAGAAGCGAGAGCAAGAGCAGGAGAGAAAGAAGTCGTAGCAGGAGCAAGTCGAGGAGGGAGAGGAGCAGGAGTCGTTACAGTGATCGGGAGAAGGAAGTGCGGGAGAGAGAAAGGGATGTCGAGCTGCGAGACAGCGGTAGCAGGTGCCTGGCCATTTTATTTGATTTCTCTGTTCTTCAATCTTCATTATTGGTTTTTGGAATGGAATCCTGCTATGAGGTCTTGAATTGCCACCCTGTTAGCTTCCAATTTGGATACTTACTCTTTATGTGGGAAGTTCTGAACTTGTTGAGAAGATTGTAATGGTTGATTGTACCTTGTAGGTTTCACACTGTCACCATAGGCTTACAAGTACTTTGGGAACAATGAGGTTACCTGACTTGACTGCTTAAACTTTGGTCTCCTTGTTAAGAGAATGTAGAGCCAAATAGATGTTCCACATTCTGCAGATGTGTTAGGCGGGAATGGTTATCGGCTGGCTATGGCTATTGTTTTGTGCCTATGCAGGCTCATCTACTTTCGCTGTATTCTTATTATTCTTCGGAGTTGTTTCTTGTGACAGGAGGGTCAAAGATAAGAAAGAAGCTGTGGAGCCTGAAGCTGACCCTGAGAGGGACCAGAGAACTGTATTTGCCTATCAGGTAGGGTATTTGATTGGACACCCTTCTGTAGAATCACATTGTGGCCTGAATATTACCATTCTCGTGCGAAATACTAAAACTTATTTTGTTTTCGAATTAATCCTTGAAGATGCCTTTGAAGGCTACCGAGAGAGATGTGTATGAGTTCTTCTCCAAGGCGGGCAAGGTTAGTGATTTTTCCCCTGTTCATTTGCAATCCCTACTTCTGCCAATATTTCATCGGCTGTCAGATTGAGGTTGATTTTGTGTCTTATCTTCTATTTTGCGTTACTTTTTATAAAATTCTGCTTGTGTGCAAGTATTGGCAGTTGCCGATCGGAAAACCTTCTTGGCTCACTGCCTCACTGTCAGTTGTGTTGGTTGTTTTTTCTACACTATATATGTTATTAGTCTTCTGTTGAGGACTGTATTGTATATCAAAATACTAGATGTGTAGCTAAGTTTAGAATCCATGCAATCGAATTACCTTTTTGTTAAATTCATGGAACATTCAGAAATGGGTTGCAGCATTTTCTTGGATGCCCTTTGAAGTGTTATACCCATCATGGTGCTCATCGTATCTTCATCATCATCAACCATTTATGTCCTTGAAATTTCAGGTGAGGGATGTTAGATTGATAATGGACAGGAACTCAAGGAGATCAAAAGGAGTTGGGTATGCAAATTCTAAATCTTATTATGCTCTAATAAGTTACCAGCATGTTGCTTTCAAGAATCAAGTTTAACTGTATTCTTAAATGCACTAGCAATGCGATAATGATGATGGATGATGGGAATACCTTGCACTCATGTTTAATCAATTCATGCTGCGCACTCAAGGTAGATGACATACACTTGAAGTTTGTTCTTTTGCTTTCTTTCTTAATTCCCTGATGAGTGTATCTACGTGAAGACGATAACTTTGGTCTCATGGATTCTTGGTCCTTGTAGAAGCAGTTTCATATGAGCTTTCTCTACTTTCTGTTTGCCTCCCTGTGAAGTTCTTTCTTTTGGTTTCTCGTCTGTCAAGAGAAAGTGGAATAGAAGTGGGACAAGACACCTCTGAAACATCTTTTTTCTTCCGTGCTTCTTAATCATGCCTCTTATGATTTGAATGGTATATAAAACACTTTTTCTGGTTAGGATAGCTAGCAACTGGAGCTCCTTCACTGTGTTCCCTGCAGTTTCCTCAACTCTTGTCAAACTGGGAAAATGCCTTTATTTTTACATAGCTTATTATCTTTGTTGATTATGTCAGGTTTTTAATTTGGCTCTATTTTGGTCAGTGATTACTTTACTCTTTCCTGTTATGGGCTAACAAATTATAAATGACGGAAATCAGATTTGCAGAAAGAAACTCAGCAATGAGCTCTCTGTACTCAGTTTTAGTTTCTCTTAATCTCTTTACTGGATGCTTTGTAAGTGCTGCTTAGGATTTGTTTCTTCTATTTTGTTCTAACAAGTTAGTTACTATTTGTAAATACCTGCAGGTATATCGAGTTCTATGACGTGATGTCTGTTCCAATGGCAATAGCTCTTTCTGGCCAGCCACTCTTTGGACAACCTGTGATGGTGAAGCCTTCTGAGGCGGAAAAGAATCTTGTTCAGTCAAATGCTACAGGTGCCACTACTGGCCCCTATGGGCCTGTGGACAGAAAACTATATGTCGGGAATTTGCACTTCAACATGACGGAAATGCAGCTAAGACAGGTAATGGTTACATGGATAAACTTTGATTTCATTGTTGCTAGTACGTTCTAAGAGCTGCTACCTTCGGTCATCTGGTAACACCTCATTTTTCTTGGCTGGTAATGTTTCAGCTTTTTGAGCCATTTGGAACTGTGGAGCTTGTTCAGCTACCCCTTGACCTTGAAACGGGACAGTGCAAAGGATTTGGGTTTGTTCAAGTTAGTAAAAGCTTCTAATTTGTTCAATGGTTGGTTAATACCTGTTGGCACTCTTTGTAATGGTTTTTACCCTGCAGTTTGCTCAAGTGGAAAGTGCAAAGGAAGCGCAAACACATTTGAATGGGAAACTGGAGATTGCTGGACGGACCTTAAAGGTTGGCTTCAACCTTAGGATATACATCATTTGCACTTTATTACTTCATCAATTTATAGGGACATTTTGTTTAAGAGCCAATAACAACTTCCGATTTTGTTGTTGTGTATATGCTAGGTTTCCTCTGTCACGGAACATGGAGGGCCGCAAGAGCCTGGGGCTAAATCTGCTGACTTTGATGACGATGATGGTGGTGGTTTGGTCAGTTTGTTTTGCTTTACCCTTGACAAAGTCCTAATCTGTTATAGTTTCTACGGAAGTGATTAATAGACATTTATTATCTTCTCAATTCACAACCACAAAACATAGTACGTACTTGGTGTTTCCTTGGCCTAGCCAGATATGGTTCTTGTCGTACTTACACCCGACTGTATTAATTATGTTTAAAGTTTCACATGGAAACTTAATTACTGCAAAGTTGAGTCCTCTCTTTACCTTTTCCCTATTGTATGAGTCGTATGTTGACTATCCATTATGCACTCAATGGCAGAGAATGGCACAAATCTTTTCTGACGGGGATTAACAATTCTATCATTGTAGAATGGAACCTCACAAATGTCTTTTGACTAATTCGTAGTAGTTTTATCTTGCAGTCTTTAAATGCTCAATCAAGAGCTATGCTCATGCAGAAGCTGGATCGCTCTGGCATTGCCACGAGGTCTGTATTCCATCCGCAATATTATCTGGTTTGCTCGCTTTTTTTGCGGATATTGTTTAAGCACTTAAAATTGACCTTTGTTTCTCCAGTATTTCTGGTTCCCTTGGAGTGCCTATGCTTAATGGCTCTGCTCAAAATCCACAAACCATGGCCTTGCAACTGAACGGTCAAGCTGCACTTCGTGGAGCTCTTCCAGTTCATGTCTTGCCTTCTCCAGCCTTTGAATCTATTGGAAAACCCAGTGTGTGCTTATTGTTGCAAAACATGTTTGATCCTTCCACCGAGGTATGTGAATTGTTTCTTCTCCTCTCCTACTATTTTATTTGAAATTTTTGTTGGATGAACTCTGATATATCTGCTAATGTCTCTTCTCAGACTGAACCAGATTTTGATGTGGACATAAAGGACGATGTCGAAGAAGAATGCTCAAAATACGGACACGTGAAACATATATATGTTGAGAAGTAAGCATAACAGCCTTCTTAGGTGGTTCATTTCATGTTTAATGAATGATTTAGGTTAGAATCTGCAATAATAGAAGGTATAAAAAATATTATATTAGAAACCGCCAAGTTGGTTTAGATGAGATAGAATCAGATATTTCTTTATGGACTGGTTCATTTGGTTGCTTAAAGATGGCAGTGTCTGGATTAACTCATTAAGAAACAAAAATACTATGAAGTCCGAACTTAATTATGGTGTATCGAGGGTATTGAAATTTGTGACGGTGGATTAGCATGCACGTTTGGATCAAATGCCTAAAATATTTGTCACAGAAATAAAAAAAAAAAAAGTGCCTACTATTTGATTTTGTCTCAACTTCCTGCAATATGATTATTTCTAACTTTCTCCCTAGTGTCAGCTTGTGCGAAAAACTTGTTCATCTCATTTATTATCTGCCTTTTTTACAGGAATAGCGCAGGGTTTGTGTATTTACGGTTTGATACCGTGGAAGCAGCCGCCAGAGCTCAGGCTGCAATGCATATGAGGTGGTTTGCTCGACGATCAATCTCAGCAACTTTCATGGTAATCAATAGTTGTTTATCCTGGTTTCCTTCGTACGTATTCAGGGTTAAGGTGCCTCAAAGTCTCATTTGTTCAATTCGAATTTGCAGCCGCCCCATGAATATGAAGCCAAGTTCCCCAATAGCCACTAGGACTAGAAAGTGCTCTCCTTGGCATAGCTCCTATCTCGGCAGTTGTCTAGAGCAGAAGCATTTGCAAACCGAGGGGAATCGCTTGCTTCTCTGCCTCGGATGTACTATGGAGACGATGCTGAGTTTGTACCTTAATACAATACTAGAGATGTAGTAATTTTTGTACTGTAGAAAGTAAATCAAGTTATTTATATCTCAATTTATTGCCATGGTATGATGGTACCGGCGAAGATTGGTGTACAAGTCATGTTTTGCTTACCTTGCCTGTGTTGAAAGTTAAAGTTTAGGGCTCTCTTTAGATGGGATTTAAAAGGTTTTTTGGCGGGAGAGCTATGGGGTTGTATAAGGCAACGCGATATGATATTAAGATTCTAAAATCCAAGCCATTCTTACGATCTCTGTCTGAAGTTGGAGAAGGAGCTGACTACAGAGTATATGATCTCTTCCGTTTTTTTTTTTTGTCCTGTAAACCCCGCTGTGCGTTTTCCCAAACTACGTTAATCATATTTCTAGCATGCAATTGTTCAACCACAATGCATAGAGTAAAAAAAACTCGGGTGCGAAAAGGGTAGTCCATCGTCGTGTGAGTTAACGTTGTTCATTTATATTATTGGCTTGAGTTACTCGGTTTTGAGAAAAGAAGCCGTACCATTAGTATGGTAATACTAAAGATTCCTTCTAATTAGATTTGTTAGCTCTATGTGTTCAATGGCTGTGACAAAGTATTCATTTACTACGAGTTAGATCTAACAATATATGAATGATATTACATAAGCACGCGTAGTTCTTTCTATTAGACATAACCATATAATACAAGTCTCGAATTCAATATCTTCTTAATTAAACTAAAATTACTCGCTAACGGTTTATCAATATTTATTATTTTTAACATTGTTTTAGTCATTTTAGTGATGTCAAAGTGTTCTAAAGAACACAACTTAATAGGAAAGATGATTACTATTTAGTATTTACAAACAAAAATTATATAAACTAAAAGACACTAGACAAACTAGATAGAGATTTAGTTTGTTAGTTAGTTCGCTCTTTTTGTTTAATGGCAATGACTGCAAGTTTAATTTAATTACATTCGGTTCACTATATGATACCTTCTCAATCAAGTTACCGGGTTATCGATATTCAATCTGACATTATTTTAGTAATGTCAAAAGAGTTCTTAAGAACACAACTTGATATAAATTTAAGACACTATAAACTAGATTTAGTTGGTTAGTTAGTTAATGTAGATTAGACAGAGATTTATCAGTTATCTCTCAGTTGTTCAGTTCAGTTGCCCACTCCATTCTCCCAACCACCCAAATTCCCTCGTCTTCTTCGCTCCTTACAGTTACCATTTCCCGCTGACTCTCACTCCCCCACACTCTTCTCAACTCTCTCTCTCTACACTCTCCATTTTCTCATCTCTTAAAAAAACTCCTTCAATCCCTTCTCCCCTTTCCTCTTCACCAATCTGTAAATTACTAGACCAGGAAGAAGAAGAAAACAGAGGAAACCCCTTTCCCTCCGGGAACTCGCCCTCTCTCCCTCAGGTAAATCTCCTATCTTCAATTTTCTTTCTGGGTTCTGATGCTCTGTTTGGTTCCCCTGGAATTTGATTGGAAGTTATTATTGGGGAAAAAAGATGGATAGGTACCAGAGGGTGGAGAAGCCCAAGGCTGAAACCCCAATAAACGAGAATGAGATCCGAATCACTACTCAAGGCCGCATGCGGAATTACATCAGTTATGCCACCGCGCTTCTCCAGGTTTTTGTTTTTCCCACCTACAACCCTTTTCTTCATTCATTTGATTATTACATGGGTTGTCTTTCTTTCCCTCGTTTGTTTGGTAAAGTTTGGAGCTTTTTATGTGTTTCCAGGAGAAAGGGTCGAGTGAGATTGTGCTTAAAGCAATGGGCAGAGCTATCAATAAGACTGTGATGATCGCCGAGATAATCAAGGTCTCTTACTTGAACCATTTTTCCAACCCGTTTTACGCGCTCTTCGATTTCGTTGTAAGCTTATGGAGATTTGTTGTGTTGATGATCAGAGAAGGATTGTTGGTCTGCATCAGATTACCGGTATTGGATCCACTGATATAACTGATACTTGGGAGCCACTAGAAGAAGGCCTTCTTCCGTATGTGGGGATGTTTGTTGATGTTTGCTGGCATTGAAATCAGTGATTTGTTTTGCCATGTGTGTTTATGGTTTGTATTTTTGTGTGTTACTCGTTTGTTGAACAGTCTGGAGACTACGCGGCATGTTTCGATGATCACAATCACTTTGTCGAAGAAGGAGCTCGATACATCCTCTACAGGGTAAACTCTAACCCTGGAGATGTAAATTTTGTTAATTCAAGTCAAGTGATATCTGTGCTGCCCATTGAGATCAATGTTTTGCCAAGTTATCATTCTCTAGCATGTTAGTTTCGGGTTAAGAAGGTTCACGTTGATTAATAGTCTCTCTGAATCCTGTGTCTGAGAGTATAAGTTCAATGACCTATATGTCCTGAGTTCTTTTGATTTGGGTCATACTTGCAGGTATCAACCTCCTCTCCCGATTGAACAAGTGAAACCAATAATGAATGAAATCGAAGATGATGGCGGTAAAAACGACATGGATTCGCCTTTTTTTCTTCTTTTTTTGGAAGCTCTTTGCACTTGTATGGAAATGTGTTTGGTTCCCATGTCTCATTATTTGTCATGTAATTCAGAAGGATCACCGATGATACGAGGTAGAGGGCGTGGTAGAGCGAGAGGAAGAGGGCGAGGTATTCACTTGTCGACTTTGATTTAGTCCACTTCACTCATGAATGAGAGATTACAAGAACCGAAAAATATCAAAGATTTTGAACCCTGTTGTTCTGTATAGCATTTGCTGTAGTGCTTGCTGACTGTGTGATAATTCCATTCAATTCCTGTGTTTTGTAGTCAATTACAACAGTGTAGGAGACTATAACGACGGTGATGGTTGGGATGGTGGGCATAGCTATGAAGTACGAGGGCAAGGCCGAGCAAGAGGTGGTCGTTTCTTCCGAGGGCGTGGAAGAGGAAGAGGGAGAGGCTATGGTGGTGGTCAGCAAGGAGGAGGGTACTATGACAACTATGGTGAACCTGAAACATATGTGCCCCAAATTCGTGGTAAGTTTTCGATGAACAGAAGCACTGAACTCCAACGAAGCTGATCATTTCTTGGATTCTGGATATGTTGCCTTCACTTTGTGTCTATATTCAAACTTGAAGGGTTTCACTTGTGTCTTTGCAGGACGTGGGAGGGGGAGAGGCCGTGAACGTGGTGGTGGTCGCAGTAGCTACACGAGACTCAATGGTCCGGTCCAAGCATCAGCAGCCTGAGGTAGACACGGTATAAACCAGTTCGTTTCGCGAACGTAGTAGTTTTGGTGGGTGCTCTGCTCTCTGCTCTCTCTCTGCTATGAACATCTGCCATGGGATGTTTTTTCTTCTGGTGAAGCGAATGTCTCCCATTTTACAATGGTGCTTGCAGTTTTTGCCTCTTGTTTTTTTTCACCCTCTTCTTCTTCCTTTTAGAGCAAGGCAGCAGACAGAAGAAAAACTTGTACATCTTCATTTTTTCTTTTATCATCTTTGTGGAAAATTTTCCTTAGGAATAATAGATAAGAGCAGTTGGTATATCAATTCTTTTCATGAACAGGGGAACCTTGTTGTTCAAGCAACTGCCGGCAAATGCATGATGATTTCAACTCCTCCCTGCACAACATACCGAAACGTACGATTTTCGCTCTTGAGAAAACGAGGCGTCCAACCATCACGTCACGATTAACGACTACACAGGCATGTGTATTCTCAAGGACTCGGCTCGAATCGATCTGGAGAACACGAGGAACAACACCGGAGGGCAACGCGTTATCCGTTCTCGTGGTTTTACCTTGCGCTTTAAGCAACTATAATTACGCAACGCGTACTTTAAACCATTCAACGAAATTTACAGTACAAAACAGAAGATAGAAAATAACTAACATTAAGCTAAGGAAAACTATGGAGATACATATAACTAAATAATAGTTAATTTGATCGGGACGGTGGAGCTGTAAATGCTCTCCAACGACCGCCACTTCCTCTTCTTCTTCTTCCACCGCAGCCGGCTGACCATCTCCTCCTCCTTTGCCGCCGCCGTCTTGTTCCTCTTATCAGCATTTCCCGCGAGGTTGACGACGCTGCCGGCGGAGTTACTCTCGTCACGGGGGAAGACAGAAGCAGTCCCGGCGCCGTCGCTGTTGCTGAGTTCCATCAACTGCTCCGCCGCCTGGATGTCGGATTCGGTGATCGTCGTGGCGGCGGCGGGTGAATATTGTTCTTCCATGGTGTTTAGTAGTGAGTAATGTTGATAGCCATTGCTCTCTGTAATTATTATTATTATTATTATTATTTTTACAAATGTAATTCGACGCTCCCTGTTGTGTTGTTTATATAGAGGGAGATTATTAAGTTGGTGGATAGAGCGTTACACCGTCATAATTAAGGCAACGGCGCGCTGGATTAATTACACTTTTGGTACCTGTAATATTTTCCCCTTTGTTGTTAAAGAAGGATAACTCGAATTGTGATTCAGTTATATTTATTTACTATCCTTCCTTTTTCTTGTTTGGGTATTGAGTGTAATTAGGAAATACAATTAACAAGAATGAGGAGTTGACTTCCTCTTTTTTTTTTTTTCCTTTTCAAATATAACATGTCGGTTTTGTATATTAATTATATTGTCAAAAAAAGAAAAGGTGGTTTTATGTTTAGCATTGATACGAGTATGAGAAGTCCCTAATTTGTTCTCGTGTTCTGTGCGGGTGATCGTTTTATATATTGCGTTGTTTTATTCGTTTTGTTTTCGCGAGGGGAATAGTGTTTATTTTGAGCCAGGTAAGAGGAGTTTTTATTCTTTGTTCAACTATGTACGTAAGTACATACCAACTAGTGTGATTTAATTATTTTTAGCCAACTTTCTTGTTTCGTCGTCAAGGAAAAAATGGAAATTGAAGTAATTAATGATAATGGCACGTGATTTAGGCCCTTTTTGTTTGTTCCTTTTTATCTCGATCGAGTTTACTCTGCTACCGCGCTATCAGGTTTTAAATTCCTTGAACTTCATTGTGTTTGGATTTCTCGTTAAGACATGTTAAGACTATTATATTAGTTTCAAAACTAATTGATGTGATCTCTGTGAAATCGATCGATCTATCAAAATCAGTGTATTTATACGAGTATGAGAAGTCCCTAATTTGTTCTCATGTTCTGCACGAGTGATCGTTTTATATATTGAGTTGCTTTATTCGTTTTGTTTTCGTGAGGTGAATAATATTTAATTTTGAGTCAGGTAAGAGGAGTTTTTAATGTTCAACTATGTACGTACATACATAACAACTCGTGTGATTTAATTATTTTTACTCAATTTTCTTGTTTCGTCGTCAAGGAAAATGGAAATTGAAGTAATTAATGATAATGACAAGTGATTTAGGCCCTCTTTGTTTGTTCCTTTTTGTCTCGATCGAGTTTACTCTCCTACCGAGCTATCAGGTTTTAAATTCCTTGAACTTCACTGTGTTTGGATTTCTCGTTAAGACATATTAAGACTATTATATTAGTTTCAAAACTAATTGATATGATTTCTGTGAAATCAGTCGATCTATCAAAATCAGTGTATTATACTCATGTCATTGCATACCCAATTTGGCTCATCCCATAAGGGACTTTGCCAATCTTATTCATATAATTTATGTATTGGTAAGGGTTAATCGTTGCTAACTCCAAAGGTGGGTTATTGAGACAAAATGAGTACTGACATTATATTAGAGGGGATTGATTGATGATTTGAGGTCTTTTGCCCAAACAGTCTGGCATTTGTAGAAAAGTAGCGTTTATATCGAAACTCTTACACTCAAGTTAGCAAATTACAAGTCAATCATAGAGTTTTATGTGTTCAGAACAACCTAATTAGCAATACACAAAATCCGTAGTGTGAAATTTCAAACATTACCATCTAATTCGTTGGAAAATCTTTTAAGATATCAAACGATAAAGTGACTCCAATTTAAACATCAATACGAAAAGAACTACACATCCCAAAATTTATATTTCAAAATATCCCAACAAGGAACAAAAGTGAATGCATTGCCCTCACAAGAAGGAAAATATTTCACATTAATTGTCATCATATGAGAAAAATATTAATAATCTTTCCCCTCTTAGTTGATTCTTTTTCTCATTTAATTCCCCAAATCATGCCATCATTTAAACTCACATTCTAAATACAACATTTTACAAGTGGGTATATAAACTCTCACCTCCCATTGTGAAATATGCACACCAAGAAAAGTTTATAACAACAACATTGAGCTTGAAACTAAAAAAGAGAGGAGAAGAAGTCCACAAAAATGGAGAGGGGAAGAGTGGCAATTAGTTACAAGTCTTTGTTTTTGAGGATAATATTGGTGATGGGGATGATGGTGGAGTCATCAAATGCAAACTACCAGCAATGTTTTCTGAAATGCATAAAATTATGTGGTTACGATCTTCTCTGCACCGTCAGCTGTGGAGGTAATTGTTTTTTCACGGATCCTCCTAGTACGGTTGTTGCTGCTGGTGTCAACGTCAATAACAATAACCTTAAGTTCTGCAATCTAGGATGCCTCACTACTTCTCTCACCACTCATAATCTATCAGGTAATCATCGATCTTAAGTTGCAGTGTGATAATCTTTTGTTAATTATTATCGATCAAGCACCCTATGTTGGGTTATTTTTCTTATCATAATGTATTAAGCTAATTAAGCTCTATAATTGTTGTGTTGTCAGCTTTGGGAGTTAGGAGTGAAGGTGAAGCTGAGAAAATAGCAGAGAAAGCTGTGAATGATTGCTCGTCTTCCTGCTCAAGAACTTTAAGTTGAATTAAGCAATAAAATTGTTATAGCCTTAATCTGTATTACCTAGACGAATTCGTGTTCTTTTTAGTGATAATATTTAATTTTTATATTCAAATTCATTTATGTAATAGCTATAGAGTATAGACACAAGAAAAAGTCTGAAAGAAAATGAAATGTGTACTTTTGTTTTGTTATTTTTGCCTTGTTTGCTAATTGCTATAACATCATAATATAGGGACTAAAACTGTCAGTAATAAGAACATTGGGAGAAATAATGGAAAAGAACGGTGACCATGGGGAGAATTTAACCCCAACTGACGATCATAAGCTTCGATCTCCCGCCAGAAGCAAAGAACAGTCCTTTCGGAAAACCTCAGCCTCTAGCGACCTCAAACACCACAACTCAGCCGCTACCCGCCAATCCCAATACTCGATTCCTTCGCCGACCAACCGGAGGAGGGAACATGGGGTATAATATGTTCAGGCGATTCAAAACCCGCTCTTCTGATCATCGAGGGGAATCGCCGGAGAACCAACATCGAGGCGAGTCGCTCAGAATCCCGTTTCCTATTGCTTCAACTGCTCGCTTGGGTTCTGTTCTCTTTGTTGCATATATGATTCTCTTCCCCTCCTTGATCAAGGTAATGTACTCGGCGTGACTAATTTTGGATCTCCGTTACAGTCAACTTGGCGGTGAGCACCAGGTGTTTGATGTTTTGCCGCTGAGGAAAAGCTTTTCTATAACCAGCTCCTGATGAAGAAGCAACTGGCTCAAATATCCAAATTTCAATGTGGGTATTGGAATCTCTTCTGCCTGGTAAGAGTTAAGCATCATATTGAATGCATTGATTGATTGGTCATGCTGCTTGTGTATCTGTCTGGTAAGAGTTTAACATTGCTAACTAGTCTTTTGTTTGTTTGAGCTTCAATTTTGTGCAGTAAACTTCTGAGGACTACAATGGATGCAGACATTTTGATATCTTTGAGATTATTTGGGTTCAAAATGAGTTGCTTTCCCAACAGACTCAGGTTGCACAAGCTGTCCCGGAAACTGAAGGTACTCGTTTCCATAACTCCTGCCCCTTCTTACTGTAACAGTTATACTTTTTAGAGTGTGTCTCGTTAAGTAAGCACATTTCTAAAACTGGATGAACCCTTTCGGAATGCGTTGCCCTATTGCATGGCCTAAAGACTTATGTCTTGTTGAGAAAGCTGGAGTATAATTTGATGAAAGCAACACTATACACTTATGATGACGTATAGTGTTCATCTCATCCAACTCGAACTGAATTAAACCACTGATCAAAAGCCTAAAAAAGGAAGAACAAAAAAACTATCCAAACAAAACAAGAACTAATAAGTTTCAGACGGATTCAAGCTCTACAGAGATAGCAAAGCTGTCCTCAATGGACTCTTCTCTTTCAGCATCAAGCTGATTACTGTATGTTCTATCCACAAAGGACTCTTCTTGATCAAGTTGTGATCTCCTTTGTGAGTTCCTCAGCCCATCAAGCTCCATAGCCACCTCTCTCATTGTAGGCCTTTTCTTCCCGTTCAATCTCAAACACCTCACAGCTAGCTCTGCAATGGCTTCCACATCCTCTTTCCTGGCTTCTGTACTGACCACAGGGTCCAAAATCTTGGACAGGCCATCCTTGTTCTCCTTCGTTGATGAAACAAAATGTGCGACGAGACTTCTCTCTTCTTCACCTCTAGTGAATGAGATGGGCTTTTGTCCCGTCATAAGCTCCACAAGAACGACCCCAAAGCTGTATACATCGCTCTTCTCTGTGAACTGGCTCGTGTGGAAGTACTCTGGATCCAAGTACCCAAAGGTGCCTTGTACCTTGAGGGACAAATATTTTAATGGAAAACATTACATTATTATGTCTGAATTCTAAACAGCTCGTCAAGAACAAAATAGATTAAGCATGGTAGTCTTAAACAACAGAGATTACCACGGTAGTAAGATGAGTCTTGTCGTCAGGAACCGATCTAGAAGTGCCAAAATCTGAGACTTTAGCACTCAACTTGGCATCCAACAGTATGTTCGAAGACTTGATGTCGCGATGGAAGATGGGAAATGAAGCTGCAGAGTGCATGTAAGCAACAGCTCCAGCAACTTCCCCGACAATTCTGAATCGATCCTCCCATGAAAGAGACGCCAAACCTTCTTCTCCATCCAGATTTCGGCCATGGATGTAACTTGAGAGACTACCATTTGGGATGAACTCGTAGACAAGCAATGGGAACTCAGTTTCAAGGCAACAACCCAGGAGCTTGACTATGTGCCTGTGGTTGATCTGGGACAGAATGACCACCTCATTTATGAATTGTTGAATCTGTGTCTTGTCAATGGTTCTTGACCTCTTGACTGCAACTATCGTTCCATCTGGGAGCATTCCTTTGTAGACTGTCCCGAACCCTCCTTTGCCAAGGAAGCGGCTCTGGTTGTAGTTGTCAGTAGCTCTTTTCAGCTCCTCTTCGGTGAATAGCTTTGAGTTCTCATGGCTTCCTGGGTATGAATTGAGCTTCTGCTGTAGCAAGACCCCACCATTTTGCTTGAACAGTTTTTGTTTTTGGATTCTGTCTCTTCTCTTTTTGAGGAACTGAATAAGCTTGTAGAGGATCAGGAATGTGGCCAGTAGTCCAATTCCAATCCCAATTCCTGAGAGAGACAGGACAAGACATCAGAAACTTTGAATGAGAGATACCTGTCTATGACTTCGAGAGCTTTGAATTACGAATTACAAAAGATATATAGTGACGCGTGCTAATTCTGCGTGTCGAGATCGAATGAACTTCTAGAGAGATTAACTATGAAAACTATAACGAATTCGTAAATAACTTGATCAATCTCGTTCATGATTAATCTTTTAAAACTAATCCCACAAACCCTAGCCTTCTCTAACTAAGCCGACCTCATTCTCAATCTCACAAATATTTAGTTACTTTCGACGCAAGAATCCTAATTAATACTAATCATAAACAGTAACTAAAACCGAATAACCATAATAATAATACGACAATAATTCAAGAATGCATCACATAGATTCTTACCTAGGAGTGTAACCAACTTGACAGGGAACTTTTTCTTGTCAGGAATGCAGATTCCAGGATTGACACTACAACTGCAGAAGAAGCTGTCAGGATTCGCTTCACAACTCTGGCTATCAAGAGGGACCAAAAGCTGCCCAAATGGGAAGAGCATACTATCATTGCTCAATCTATTAGCCTCCATGATCCTGGCACTATCCACGCGAAACCGGTCAGCAATCGATCGAATGGAGTCGCCCCACGTCACCATGTACCCCAACAGGGACACCACACCACTGGCAGCCTGTTGCTCACTCGGGCAAGCACACCTCAACGGAACATTCAGCTCCGAACCAACATCAAGCCGGTCGAACTCGTAGTAATTCTGCCCTGCCAGTGCCTGACAAGTCGTCAGGCCCTGGAAGGTGTCGTTGGCAATGGTGAAGTAACTCTCGTTTGGATCCCTTACGGCGTAAGGAGTGTTATGTTGATAGATGCTGCCTGAACAGGAACAAGAGACAGGTACTATGATCCACGTCCCGGGTGGGATTCTGGCCGAGGTGGATGAGATGTTGTTTATGGAAGCCACGGTGGAAGGTTCCGAGCCCAGGAGAAGGGCGATCGATATCGGGGTATCATTGTAAGGCGGGTTTGATTGAAAAGTTGTGAAGTATTGGCACTGACCAGTCGTGATTCCATTGCAGCTGTAGCCTTTGGCTATGGAAGGCGAGGCTTCGCCGGAGTTGCAGTTGAGCTGAGTGTTGTTGATGTAGTCTTGCTGGGCGGTAATGGAAGGGAGCCTGTGGAGAAATGACAGTAAGATGATCGTCATTGTTGGTATTATGTGGGTATAATGGAAGCAAGGCTCCATTGTTTGTTCTTTGTTGGTTTTGAGATGATTTTGGGCAAGGTTTTTGTAATGCAGCATCTGTTTTTTTATGTCTGAGCATTTGGATTATAATAGTATTTAGTCATTTACACATTCTTTTGAATGTTCTTGGTAAGGAAAGTTTCAAAATCTGTTACTTAACCAGAAGAGGTCATCTTGATTTTAATAGTCAGTGATTTTTGGAAGATTGTGCTTAGTCTGTTGTTCAAAGTCAAGAGTACAAGTTGAAGTATTTAAGTTTGCTTTTGCCTGTGGTTTTGTTGGGTTAATTAGTGGGTGTTGTTTGACTACATAAGCAGACTCTATTTGAAGATTCCTAATTTCTTGAATCAAACACCTGGGATTGTTTTGTTTAGGTCACATGTTATCTTTCTCTCTCCATCGTAAGAGTTCGATCTATTCATATGAATATGACTCATTTTGTGGCGAATTATTTACCAATATAATCACTTATGGTAAAATACTAAAATGTCTATCCTCTTTGTTAACGGTGGATATTATCATAATAATACCCAATTTTTTTTAAGAGATGCTTGATAGAAGTTTACTACTAAATTATTGTGTAGCTTTTTGGGATCTTTCTTTTTAAGATAAGTTCTATTGGTGCTTTTATGTACAAGTTGAATTTGTACCATAACCTTAAAACTATAAGATTAATTTGCATTATAAATATCTTTTTTACAAAAGGTTATACATATAAATAAAAATTTTATAATAGTATTAAAAGTACAAATTCAGTTTATACGACATTTGTAGCGCAGATTTCTGTAAAAAAAAAACATTTGTAAATTCATGCCGTAGTTATAAGAACCTGAATCAGAATTAAAACGCTGTCGTTTATGAACCTACTAGACTACTAGCTTCAGTTTTTCAATCCCTAAAATCAAATCTTGTTCCGTCCCTATTCAGTTAACTTAAGGGGGGAAAACTATCCCGCCGGCGCGAAGCTCCTCCGGCAGCCAACCCGCCGACAGTCCATCATTTTCACCTGTGACCCGGAAAACTTTTGAAGAATAAAGGAAGAAAAATTTAGCCTTTTGGTGATTTATACTCTCTTTCCTGACCAGTGTTTCAGCTCCGGGCCAGTCGGAAGCGAGGTAATTTCCCTTCTCTGGGTTTTCTCTGCTCACAATGAATGTTCTTACTGTAATTATTGGTTGATTCCGAATTCGCTTCCATTTTTCAGTTAGCAATTTTTCTCTGTCTGCCAATTGTGTTTTCCAATTTTCTTTTGCTTATCTTGGCTGTTTTTTTCGCCTGTATGCGTTTCATCTTGTGTCACCTGGAGAAAGTCACTTCCAAGTTCATTGCTTTCTCTTTGGTTTTGAAGCTTCGCATGCTCCTTTCTTCACGCGTGGAATTTGATACTGATTCTGGGCGAATCTGGATGGTGAAGGTTGATGATTTGGTCACTGCGTTCTCAATTTTGTGCCATGGTGTGCTATCGTGTATAGGGAGGATTAAGCAACTTTCCGGGAAGCTGATTACTTTGTGTCTTATACTGAATAAGATCTTAGCAGTGAACGTTGGTTGTCTTCAATTCTTCCTCTTGCTAGCAGTTTTTTAGTTTTTTTGAAACATAATAATAGAGTATGTTCTGTGCTTCTTGGTGTGTCCACCTGCTCAAACGCACTCGAACTGTCTCTCTGAACCTTAATAGTTGGCTCAATTTCTCGACTCAAGCATTAGCTACGCCATGCCAACCGTCTTCGGCACTTCCTTATCTCAAGCCTCTCAACTCCAAGCTCTCCAGCTTCATGAAAAGTGGTCTGGTCGAGGAAGCAGAGAATTTGTTCAACGAAATGCCTGACCGAAACATTGTGACTTGGAACACCATGATTAACGGCTATTTCAAGAATGGGGAGAAGGAAAAAGCATTCAGTTTGTTGGGTTCGATTCCCCAGCCCGATATTTATACATACAACACAGTGATCTCCGGGTTGATCCAGGTTGGTGATCTGTCTGGTGCTAGGAAGGTCTTTGATAAGATGGACTCTAGAGATATAGTTACCTGGAACTCCATTATTGCTGGTTATGTTCACAAAGGAGTCATCGACGAGGCGATGCAACTGTTTCATGAAATGCCTGTCGGGATGAGAGGGAAAGACACAGTAGTGTCTTGGATAGTTATGGTTTCTGGATTGGCTAAGGAAGGGCGCCTTGTTGAAGCTCATAAGTTTTATGAGAAGATGCCGGTTAAAGACTCTCACGCTTGCAATTCCTTGATTGCTGCATATATCAGAATCGGGGAGCTAGACCAGGCAGAAGACTTGTTTCGCAAGTCAGAACAAAAAGACTCTGATTCCTGGAGGCAATTGATAAATGGGTTAGTCACTTGTGGAAGACTCAGTGGTGCTTTTAGCCTCTACTTGGAATCACCTGAGAAATGTCATACCACGTGGAACTCGCTGCTACTGAAATTAATGGAGAGTGGAGCAACTAAACCAGTTCATGCCTTCCTCGAAAAGCTTCCATATGGTGACATTGTGTCGTGGACTAACATAATCATCGGATACTTCAGGGAAGGTGAAGTAGGAGCTGCAGTTAGCCTGTTTTACTCGATGCATCATCTAGACTTAACGTTATGCAATGTGATGATATGTGGACTAGGGGAGAATGGACTTGAGGAAGAAGGCATCAAATTGTTTACGAGGATGAAAGAATTAGGGTTGTCACCTGATAAGGCTACTTTCACTAGCATCTTGACAATTTGTTCAGAGTTACCAGCCTTATGCCTTGGGAAACAAGTCTGTGTACATGTTTTCAAGACGGGACTAAATCTTACTATCGAGGTATGCAATGCAATGATCACTATGTATGCCAGATGTGGGAATATGACCTCTGCTTTGCTTTCCTTTTCCTCCATGCCTAGCCATAATGTCATTTCTTGGAACTCAATCATCTCTGGATTTTCCCACCATGGCCTTGGACCGCAAGCCCTCGAGATGTTCGAAGAAATGAGATTGAGCAATGTGAAGCCTAACGAGTTAACCTTTATTGCTGTTCTGTCTGCTTGTAGCCATGCAGGATTGGTGGAAAAGGGTAAACACTATTTCAATTATATGAAAGACGAGTGCTTTTTGCAGCCAACAGGTGGACATTACACCTGTATTGTGGATCTATTGGGAAGGTTTGGGCTGATTGATGAAGCTATGAGTTTTATAGACCGAATGAGAGCCGATGGGCTTGAAGTTCCCGTTAGTGTCTGGGGAGCTATACTTGGAGCTTGTAGAGTTCACAGAAATGTTGAAGTTGGCGCGGTTGCTGCTGAGAATGTATTGGCAATTGAACCAAATAGGTCTGGCACGTACTTGATTTTGGCAGAGTTATATGCTAGCGTTGAAAGATTGAATGAGGCGGAGAGAGTTTTGACCCGAATGAAGAACAGTGGAGTCAAGAAACAACCTGGGTGTAGTTGGATTGAGATGAACAACGGTGGATGTGCTTTTCTCTCTGGAGATAAGTCGCACCTTGAGTTTGACGTGGAGGCACGAGTGGAGATAGTTCAACCTTGTTGGCACTCTGGGTAGTTTGTTTATGCTTGTTCAAGCCTTACATTGGATTTTCTGTTCAACTGCCAGAGGTGCAACAACAGACTGATGCAAGTCACTGCATATTGCGTTATCAGAATGCAAATTTGTTCAACCTCGAAACATTATAATTCCTTTATACAGATTGAAGCTGTTCCCTCAGCCTTTCTTGGGCTGTATAGCCATACAGAGTTTATTAACTTCTTAATCTATGAAGCGGAGCAAGGTACAGTTGCAGCCTTTCCTGGCTTATCAACTACATGTTCTATGTTTATCAACCACCATTGATGCTTGGTTTAACAGCGTTTTATTCATCAAAAGCCCGAAGGGCTGCTGAGTAGCTACTCATGGTTTGTTTATCAGATCAAGCTTGGAGAACTTGCCTTCAAAATGCCAGCTCCTGCAGAAGTATATATACAACCTGGAGCTGGTCAACAAATTGGACACTTGTGCTGTTTGGTTTCTCATGACTTCATGTAATTCTCAGCAAATATCAGATGTTGAATCGATATAGCTAGGCGTGAGCAACCATTTGATCTAGACTGAACGAGGTTGAACAGAATCATTGTATTGATTCAATTCCCTTCAATTTCTCAAAAAACAAAAACAGATGAATATTTGTATTGAAATTCTGTTCCCATAATTGTGTATTCAACTCTTAGGATTCACAAAAATCCTCCAATCAGTACTACCAAGAAACCCTCTCCCAAGCTAACAATTAATCAAGGAATTAACTACCCACAAAAAGAAAAGACCAATTTGTCTTCTTCCCCTACATATATATATACACCCCTAAATGTCTGCATACCAAAATTCCCATTCACAACAATCTTCTACACTGTGGCAAAGTGACATCCAGTCACTTTATTCAGTCACAGTTCAACCCACAGACCTCCAACACAGGACCATCTCTCGACACGAATGGATTGACTCTCACCCAAAGCAAGGTCAATATCGACGACAGGAGAATCGACCACACCAGAATGATCGTCGGCATCCTGTCCTGCTTCCCTAGCAACCCCTTGAGGAAAGGGTAAAGATGGACGATCACCCATATGGCGAAGAACAGCCTGCCGAACAGTGGGCCCCACGAGTCATAGCCATTGTTGATTGCGTTGGAGATCCCAACAACAACTCCCACGATGTTTATGATCAACAATGTCGTGGGAGGGATGAGGAGGGAAGTCCACTTGAAGAGGTACAGATCCGAGAACTCTCCATCATCGGCTGCCTTCGAGGTCACGGTGAAGTTGGTGTTCACTCCGGCCAAGACCTTGAGGAGACCTTGGAAGAGGGCGAAGAGGTGGGACGAGACACCACCAATCACCCAGAACTGCTCGTTTCGCCATATATCATCGAGCCCCACACCACCCCATTGCATCTCGAAGAGACTCGTTGCAGCGATAGATACGAAGAGCAGCATGAACAGTATGCTGGCATAGTTGCTAATCTGCAACACTCCAACAAAAAGAAATTGATGAGTGCTATTAATTAATTCTACATAGAACACGAACATCAGAGAAGCGAATGGGAAAATCGTAAATTGTAATAGTGTACCCCAATTACCTGAGGGACAATGAACTTGCCAGTGAGAAGACATATAGCTGGCAATGTGCAGTAAGCCAGTAAGGGAATGGAGGTCAACGGGTAGATGACGGAGTTTATGTATGAAAATCGCTCCAGCGACTTCAACCCACCACCATATCCATACCATAGTGGGCAATGTCTGCTCAAGAGAATCTCAACCGACCCCAATGCCCATCGAAGAACTTGGTGCAGACGATCTGACAGGTTAATTGGAGCCGATCCTTTAAAGGCCGGTCTTTTAGGCATGCAATACACAGACCGCCATCCATGGCAGTGCATCTTGAACCCTGTCAGAATGTCCTCCGTAACTGAGCCATAGATCCATCCCACCTGAATGGAGTTCGAAGAACCATTGCTTAGTCAAACAATTAGAGAGCAATAAGTCATCGGAAAAGTTCTCTCTGTACTTACTTCTTTGCCCCATTCTGTTTTGTCTTCATACCCACAACTGATAACCTGAATAGCTTCTCTCAGTAAGGCAGCAGGATTGGCATCTCTTGGAACTCCACCTTCTTCAAGACGTGCAGAGGCTATAAATACCGGCGACTGCCCAAATTTCTTCTCCAATTTGGTCTGAGGTGTTTCAGAAGACTTATTCGTAATCAACTCTGCAGCAGCCATTAATGAATACTGAGAAGCATGAACACGAATCACAACCAAGTGTCATACAGAAATAGATAACAGAAGAATTCCATTACCTTTCTGTCCTTCAATATTTTCAAGAGCATGGACTTGATTTGACGTTTCTCTGCCCTTCGTTTTCTTCTTGTTCTTCTTGGCACTTGATTTCGTTTTCTTTCTTGATCCACAGCACAGGCAGCACCATCTAGGCCAGCAGTTGCAGGTCTTCCCTGGAGGCTTCTTTTTAATGGGTGCATCATAACCGTAAAGAGCTTGCCTCCGGAAGACACAACCAGTACCGACATAAATTGGTCCTTGTAAACCATCCAGACCTTTCATGTTGATCTGTTTCAAATTTGGGAGTCAGCCTCATCAGCTGTGGTAACTTGATATGTAAAAAGAATTAAGCAAAGAAGAAGAAAGCTAATGCTTGAACAGCGATCCCTACATCGAAAAAGACGACATTCCTATTAGAGTATCGATCATGTCGATCAATCCCATCGAATCTCTGAGGGAACTGCACATAGCAAACTTTCTTCCCCGAAGTTGGGTCCATCATGAAACACATGGCTTCTCTTAGAGCCTTGCTGTTATTGATGTAATGATCACAATCAACATTCAGCATGTAAGGAGCGTTGGACAGCACTGCTGAAACTCGTATCTACATCAATCACAACGAATAATGATTCACATCTCATTTTATTCAAAGGTGTAGCAAAAACATCAACCAGCATCAAACAATCTGCACAAGTTAGAGATATTACCAGTGCATTCATAGCCCCGGCCTTTTTGTGATGGTCAAACCCTGGTCTCTTCTCACGAGAGACATAAACTAAACGAGGCAACTCATCGCCTTCAACGTCACGAACACCACTCTGACCAAGAAATACCTGTAATGGCAAAACATCATTTGAGATGCAAAGTAAAATGGGTGTTCGAAAGTGATCTCGACTAGAAACCATGTCAGTTTTGAAAGCAAGTTCATATTAAATGATTTTAACAAGATCAAAGAAACTTCCAAAGGGGCGGCTAAAAGTGAATAAGCTGATATATGGACCAAATACCAGACGATAGCCTCTGTGAAGCTATAACCAATCTGTATCATTCCAGTTTGACAATGATAATGCAGATTTTAATTATAAAAATAAGAAAGAAAACGACTGTAACTATGAAGGAACCGCAACAAGATCAAAGAGCTTAGAAGACCAATACAAAATGTGATATCCACAATACAAAGTATTCAGATGCAAAACAATCTCATAATGTCAGTGCACCTGTCCTTCAAGAAGGAAGAAGCTTTTTTTTTTCTCCTGAAGATGGAGAATTGGTCTAAAAATAACTAAAAAGTATCTGCAGACAGAACAGCCACTGACTTGTAGCAAAGGAGACCCTAGTGTGCACTTCGCAAAAAATGCTATTAGCAAAATGCACGAGAGGGGTTTTTCAATTCCTCTGCCACGGGAATCCGTTGATATAGCACCTTTTGAAACCCTTTTTCTCGTTTTGTTCCTTGGAACTCAGAGCTTGGAGGAACCAAGGGGCTATTTGGTGCATGAAGCAAAAAAGAAGAAAAGTAATAGATTTTCTCAAGAGCAAGGCAAAGTAAAAGGACGAATAAGGATGATAAAATCAGGTTTTCATTTAGCTATAGGCTCAGGCAAAAAAACATTTTACTCACCTGAATCATGCCAGGATGATCCCGCACATTATTTCCAGGCCATGGAGTTCCATCTTGCATTGTCCAACCATCTTCCGGAACCTTTTGTGCTGTCGAAACCAATCCATTGATCCTAACCTTAAACTCTTCGTAATCCCTCTGCATTTTACCAGCAAGGGGAAGTAGAAGGTGTTACGACCATGAGACTTGCACACCACATTTGATCATATATAGCTGACAGGAAAAAGGGACACTAACTAACCTTCATAGCACGCCTTTCCCTAACGAACGAGGGATGGACCTTATTCTTCAAGTAATCAATCTTTTGGGAGAAGTACCACTCGGGTGCTCTTGGCTCGATATTAAACTTCTTACAGAAAGGAACCCATTTCCTAGCAAATTCAGATGTCTCTGAGAGCGCTTCAAAGGTGAGCATAGCAGCACCATCATCGGATACGTAGCAAGCGACTTTATCAACAGGGTAGTCTACGGCAAGAATAGAGAGGACGGTATTCGCAGTAATTAATGGGGGTTCTTTCAAGGGGTCCACCGTGCTAACAAATACATCTATGCTAGCAAGCTCTGATGGTTTGCCTTCTTTCTCGTACCTGGCAAGTAAATGAAAATGGTAAAGCCAACAGCTTTCAAGAAGAAATGTGAAAGAACAATAGAGAATAGCAGACTAAGATACCTTAGTGACAGTCGATCGAGGTATGTTTCTCGTTCTATAGGGTACAATTTTGGGAACTGGTCAAGAATCCATGATAAGGCAAACCATATTTCACATATAACCGATGTTAGCCACAATCCAAATGCATCTTTGACTGGGTGAAGAATTCTGTAGTGGAAGAACAGCCCCAAGATCACAAGACGGATGACAATTACAAGTCTATACGGGTTTATCTTGCTTGAAGGAATAGGTAACTTCCTCGAAAGTGGCTGCCTGCCCTCATCCATTCTGACAATATATGCCAAGAAAACTCATCAATAACCAAATCAATACCAAACACTACTTCTCCCTTGACAAAGACCAATCTAAATGCCAACTTAGTCTCTAAACTTGCTTACCGAACCACATTGAGCACTAAATTTGGCATTGAGACAGTTAAAGCAACAAACTAGTGCTTCCTCTATT